ACTGCATCCTGACGGTGCATTCGTCCCGTAAAATTCGCGAATAAACGTGTGAAAATGTTTGTGCTGACTGGGTGTTTGCAATAGATAGCAGAGAAACAGGTTCGAGGTTTCGTTTTATTTGCGTTGATAACATTTGGTGCAATGATGGCCTTCCTGCATTTTTAGTCATTCTTACTCTTGTTGTTCTCGCTTTCGTTTGGTGATACGTGCTTGAAACATGTCGTATCTCTCCAAATTTTCAACCCATCGCACTCGGAGGTATTTTTAGTGTTTCAGATAGCGGTTTGACAAATTTATTGCTGAAATATTTGATAAGTTATTACTTTTTTATAATTAGTTACTATTCTGTCCTGCAGTTTATATTCGGACTCTATCTCAGTATTCTGACTTCTGTAAAATGTAGAGTTTGGTTCTCTGTATATGGAGTCTATTTCTCTGTATTTTACAACATTGTAGGGTAGATAAAATACTATTGTAAAATATTGATAAATACTGTAGATAAAGTACTTATTTTAGCTGTAGTAAATTGAATGGTGTAATTCGAAGGGGTTGAAAAACTGTAAATGTGGCTAATCCTTTATCATTTTAAGATATCAGTGCGATAAGGATAATCAATAAAAAGTATAAGAATTAATCAACAATATTAACTTACAAATTCATTATATTTTATGAAATCAATTTTCATTATTCTCCAGGTTTCATATCAATCTACCATAAATGGTACTAAATCTACCTATGCATATACACATAAGTGCCATTATACTTCTATATGTATAATCAAATCATATCAGATGTTTTATACCTGTGTAAAGGAATCTGCTACTTGTACAATTTAGTAACATTTTTTTCTCGAGTGTTACGATTAGCACATATCACAGTAGAATGATATTCAATACTAATGAATCACCTAGTTCGCTTCCTAGACAGTCAAGATCTTTTCCAGAAGCGAAGAAGCCGTACATTTCCTGTAGAGCGAGTTAAATAAGCAACGACCTCAATATGGGTAAAGCCAGTGTTCCTTATCTACGATCCGATTTTTCACAGAAAAAAAACTGCTCTTCCGGCGTAGAATTCCTGCATGCCCTGATAACTTTAGCAATTCGAATCGGAAATGTAGAGGTATTCTCATGTAGATCTCTTTCAATACGATAGGTTACCTACATTCATCAACATCTTCCTGTGAAAGAAGGTTGTAATTATCGACGGACATTTTATAATTTCTCTCGTGAATTGTCGATCATTTTAATCATCCAAGTATTTCAACTCCCTTTGATGATTATTCGAAGTCGAAGAATCTACACTTGAGAACTGTGAGAAACTTGTTAGACTTTGTAGGAGGAAGTATAATGATCTTATAGTTCTTGATACCCTAACGGATCTTGATAATGAAAGAAGTGTAATTAGCGGTAATCATACATTTAATGGTCTCACGTTTTCAAGCTTGAACACCTTGGATTATTTCAGTCATAAGTCTATTTAAATTTAATAAACTTTATTATCTTGTTTATTCAGAAACTAAATGTGAATCAAATTGTGCTATTTGTATTGCGAGATTCGGAAAAACAAAACGGACGTCTCATGATTTGTTTGCGTCTACATTGATAACAGAAAATGGCGGGATAATTTACATACGGTTCAACGATCCAATTACTGTTTGAAATAAATAATTCTAGAGATACTCACAAATATTAAGATGCCTTAAGTTTTAATGAATTACTGATACTCTTCAGAAACTTGAAGGTTTTTAAAATTAAAAATTAGGTTCTCACGAATTATTCATTAATTTCAATTAATATATTTTTTATCTTTGGTACACGTTCAAAATTAGCAGAAATGTTTATTAACAGAAAACAATACCTTAATTGATTTTAGTGAATATGTTTAGCACTTAGTAAATTAAAGAATTTAGGATGAGATTACTAACTCGATTTATTTGGAAAAATTTGTGTTCAAACATTTCAGTGGAAGTTGCATGAACTTTATAAATAATTTGCTGCCTCAGATGTGCCGTAACGTGTCAAATAACTATAACAGTAAAACATATGATTATTTACCGCTCAAGACCCTCAAATCTCACGTTTCGTAAGACAACACTTACGAAAGAAGAGACGTATATCTCGCAAAGTATCGTGTATCGTTGTTCGAGGCTATCTAGAATGTTGATCTACTTGCACGTGCTTCATTTCCATTAATTACTCAACGGATCATACATCGAACAAACATACGTTATTGTTCCAAAATTTAATATTAAATAACAATTGAAAGTTCATTCTTACTCAGTACTTTATCACATTTTGATAGTAAGTTCTTTATAAAATCAGAAGATATGATTTCGAACAACACAAGCTTTCATGACAGGAAAGCATGAAATGACACTTGATGTACATAAATGCAAAGTTTGGTGTTTAATAAAAATGAATGTGGCTTGTTACTAATTTTTAATACAAGAATTTAGTTCACAAATCAATTGTCAAAGCAAAATGTTCAAGTGAAGGAGAGCGCTATTAAAAATATTCTGTAACAAATTTCATAATATATAAATAAAATTGATCAAATAAGTATCAGCCTAATATAGCTTTTGTACATTTTGCACGCTCCAGTATGCCATAAGTGCGTAAACATCCGCAATCTGTTTATTAGTATAGTACTTCAGTAGAAGTTTTATTATCAGAATTAACCCTTGGTTTAGTCGACGACAGGAGAGACAGTGCGGTGCCTGAGTCCATTATTTAGAATCTGTTGTATCTATAGCGTTCACTGAGATAACCTCGGATAAAAATATATTTGCTCGCATAAATAGGAAAATTGTGTGCGTGGTCAACCACCGACGTTAGAAGTAAAGTTTCTGTATTTATTTTGGGTAGAAATTTTGTCTTTTGAGAATTGGGGATTTCGGGATTTGGGAATTTGGGAATTTGGGGATTTGGGGATTTGGGGATTTAGGGATTTGGGAATTTGGGGATTTGGGGATTTAGGGATTTGGGGAATTGGGAATATGGAGATATGGGAATTTGGATATTTGGAAATTTGGGGATTTCGGGATTTGGGAATTTGGGGATTTGGAAATTTGGGGAATTGGGAATTTGGGAATTTGGGGATTTGGGGATTTGGGGATTTGGGGAATTGGGAATATGGAGATATGGGAATTTGGATACTTTGGGAATTTGGGAATTTGGAAATTTGAGAATTTGGAGATTTGGGAATTTGGAGATATGGGAATTTGGAGATATGGGAATTTGAAGATTTAGGAATTTGGAGATTTGGGAATTTGGAGACATGGGAATTTGGAGATATGGGAATTTGAAGATTAGGGAATTTGGAGATTTGGAAATTTAGGGATTTGGGGATTTGGGAATTTGGAAATTTGGGGATTTGGAAATTTAGGAATTTGGGAATTTGGGAATTTGAGGATTTGGAAATTTGGGTATTTGAAAATTTGGGTATTTGAAAATTTGAAAATTTATAAATTTCAAAATTAACTCTTTTATATCAAAAATTTTCTTGCATTCAAATTAGTGTATTATTTTCTATTTACACATTTTTTTTTCAAAGAAATTTGCATTTCAGTATAAAATCAAGATATAAATCATGAAACTAAAATTGAGCGTATAAATTTCCGATACAAAATTACATTACAGTATTCGTGCAACACGTGATACGTGCATGCTTTGAAATGATTTGTATCGTGACAAACAGGAAAATTCATTAGCGGTGTATAAGACGCGTAAAGGGTATTGATTATCGAACACCGCCGTTCACAATGCAACGATAGTCATAATTTATGCGTTAATTCCATTTATCATTATGATACATGCATACTGATACATGGGAAAGGGTGGGGTATTTCATTAGCGTCGACGTACGTTATGGGCTGATATTAATCGAGAGTCAACAATATCAGCAGCCCAAAACTTCATTCCATCAATATTGAGTGTTATAATGATAAAATGTTTCGACTTAGTCGGTGTTAGAGTATTTGAATTTGATAGATTCTAATACAAATACATTTGTGATTTATTATGTGATGTACTATGTCTTTCATTAAATGAAGTTAAAAATATATACATTTTTAAATATTCAAATAATATTTAAAATAATTCAAATATTATAATACTTCATTATAATACCAATTAATGTTAATATTAATTATTAAACTTTATTCAAAATATTTCAATATTAGTTAAAAGCAATAACTAAACGACAAAAATATATTTTCACATATTTGTGAATACTAAGTAATTTTTATTAAACAAATTAAAAATTCTTATTTTTTATAAGGTGTTAGATTTCAAAACATACAAACCACATTACTTTACATTACTTAACACATTAATTTTCTTCACATATGTACACATGTCCTACGAGTTGATGCATGAAGGGGTGGCTGTTATGAATTGTCGAATTATTTTAATACTAGTCAAAGTTTAAATTTGCTAGACTTATTTTGCACTATCCAGTTTCAGTCTAATGCAACAAAATTTAATTTTTACTTCCCTCATGATTTATATTCTCAAAAATTGTTAAATGGTATGGAACTAAGATTTCTTGTTAGGATAAATTTATACGACCAAAATAAATCCTACATCGCCTCATTAACTCGCTTAAAAGCAAATTGTTATCTGCCTGCTCTGCAGTTGATAGACAGTTCCTAAGAATACATTAAACGATAGAAAGAATTGTCATTGAAGAAAACCAGTTACGTGGTTTTACCCCACTTTCCCTAATCGACTTAAAGTACAATTCTAAGCTACAATTTGAAAACAATTCCAAAATACATATTGATTGATTCACATTGTTTCTTCTAACAAAGCATCCGCCATTTTGGATTAAGAATATCGATGAAGCAATTAAGTAATCAGTTTTATTAAACTTTGCTGTGGAAACGTGCTTCCTTTGTAAGATATTCCGAGAAGTTTGCGTATTCGTTAAACTTGTTTCAGAGGTTGAGGGAATTGAAGAAATCGACGGGTAGGAATAATAATGAACATTCTTTGTTGTAGAATCACCGAGACGTTATGTGGAGGGTGAGGTGACGATTCACTATCGTTCACCAGTGCGTACAGAGGCGAAAGAACCATTGAGCGAAGAAGAACTCGCTCGTCGAAGTGCAGAGAATATGCGACGCGTTTATCAAGAAGAACGTCGTCGGAAATATCTTCAAGAACTGCACGACATTGATTCTCGAAGACATACCGACAACTTCATGTAAGTTTCATCCCCTATTTTTTTGGTTTTCATTTGTAAGCTAGCTTTAGTTTCTGTAAATTTATTTCAGAGCTGACTGAAAAATTATTCCATGTAGTAAACAGTATATGTTGATCGTTAAATGAAAAAAATAAGATAAGAGTAAAATAAAAAGAATATAAAAAGGAGAGTAAAATAAAAGAGAAGAATAAAAAAAAAATAAAAATAAATTGTTTCTATACTTCTGGTAGTAAAACATTTTATTTGTAGAAGAATGTTTTTAGAGTCATGTCAATAAGAACGAACGTTTTTTTTTCTTTTCCAACAAGTTATAAATTTATTGAATTTCAGCATTTTGTTAAAAATTCTTTTTACTTCATCCTAGATCACAAGACGGACATTTCTGTATTATTTTAGACAAATACAACGTCGTCAATCGTGACAGCCATTAAAACTGACATACTGCGAAAAAGCTACTACAGTTTCAATAACAATAAAGATAAATGTCTAAAAGTTTCACTATGTTATTTTTAGTTATGATCAATGATGTGTGTTCTAAAGTTTCGAAAGTCTAAAATAACAACTCAATAATTCTTTATCACAAAAATAGATTAATATACCAGCTCCACATCAAGATAACAAATTTTAAATAAATATTGGGTTGGCAAGTAAGTAATTTCGGCTTTTTAGTGTGAAATAATACTCAATTTATTCTATACAAAAAATGAACTTTAATCAGTCAAGTATTTTCCATTCTGTTCGATGACTTTTTGCCACCTTTCTGGTAACTTCATGATCCCGCGCTCATAAAATTTCTGGTCCTTAGCAGCAACAAACTCAACCACGTGCGATTTGAGGGCGTCGATATTACTGAAATTTTTACCATTTAAGAAGTTTTGTAAACTTCGAAATAAATGATAATCCGATGGTGCAAGGTCGGGGCTGTATGGGGGGTGCGACATCACTTCCCAACCAAGCTCCAATAATTTGGTACGTGTTGCTAAAGATGTGTGAGGCCTCGCATTGTCGTGGTGGAACACGATTCCTTTGCGATTTGCCAATTCTGGCCTTTTCTCTCTGATTGCTTCCTCCAATTTCACAAGTTGTTGGCAGTAAACATCTGAGTTGATCGTTCGGTTGTTCGGAAGCAGCTCAAAATACACAACACCTTTGTAGTCCCACCAAATTGACAGCATGATCTTCTTTTGATGCAACTCAGCTTTTGATATGGTTTGCGCTGGTTCATCATGCTTGGACCATGATCTTTTTCGATTAACATTATTGTAGACAATCCATTTTTCATCGCCAGTGATAATTCGTTTCAAAAAAGGGTCGATTGCATTACGTTTGAAATGCGTATCACAAATGTTGATTCGTTGTGTTAAGTGAATTTCTTTCAATTCGTGCGGAACCCAAATATCGAGCTTCTTAACAAGTCCAAGACGTCTTATATGATTTTCAATCGTTGTGTGCGATACATTCAACTGTTTTGCAATCTCTCGCACAGTTATATGACGATTTGATTCAATTATGGCTTTCATTTTGTCATCATCAACTTCAGAAGGTCGACCAGAACGTTGGTCATCTTTCACTGAGAAATCTCCAGAACGAAATTTTTTGAACCAATTCTGACACGTACGTTCTGTTAAACAATCCACGCCATACACTTCACATATTTCCTTGTGAGCCTCAGCTGCTTTCTTACCTTTATGAAAATAAAAAAGTAATATGTGTCGAAAATGGCTATTTCTGCACTCCATGTTAAAACTGACCGTAAACCAACAGTTGTAAACAAAATTACACGAAATTTGTTTCTATAGCAAGCTAAATGTATCGACCACCAAATCTCAAAAGAAAAGAATTCTAACATTGACAAAAGAATAACAAAACAAACATAATGCTATCTACTGGCACAAACCGAAATTACTTTCTTGCCGACCCAATAGATAATAAATTTATAATACTGTGATAAACTGTAATAATGTCTTAAATTACAGTATTAGAATATTATGTAATAAATTATGAAGTACTTTATTACTATATAATTAAAAGCTATATTTTGTACTATAAATTATTACTCCGTTAAAAATTATTGAATATTGTACGTTACAAGGTAAACTGTTATCAGATTATGTCATACTATCATTAAACTATGTAACGTTGATTTTGTACAAGAAACGAGAATAATCAGTAATTGATATGAATAAATAATTAAATTATATGTTATGTGTAATAACACGCAAGGCTCGGAAAATGTAATGGTAATAGATAATCAATTGATTTAATTTCATTTTGCTTCAAGAATGGAGGGTATTAATTGTTTCTAATTAACCGCTGCAGTGCTCTTTGATGCGTGATGTTATCTTACTCTACAGATACTTCTATATGATTCGGACTTGAAACGAATCTTTCAATGAAAATGTAATATGAGCTGAATAATTAATGAAGTTAATGAGTTTATTAACCTGTTTATGACTGCTGACGTATAATACGCTGGAGTGTAGGCAGTCTCTCAGCATTTTCTTTTAATAAATATGTAATGTTAGAAGTGTGGAAATTGTGAAGCTTGGAACAATCTGAAAATTTGGAGATTTAAAGAATTTGGCAATTTGTAAATTTGAGGATTTGAGAAGTAAGAGCTTCAGAGATTTGCTGTTTTCGAGATTTGGAGATATGAAGATTTAAAGATGTGGAGATTTGAAATTTGGAAATTTAAAGATGTGGAGATTTGAAAATTTGAAAATATAAGATTTTTAGATTCAGAGATTTGGAAGTTTGAGTATTTAGAGACTTTTAAATTAAAAAATTCAGAAATGTCAACATTTGAAAGATTTATAAATTTTTAAATGTAAAAATTTTGAGAAATGAAAATTGAAGAATTTGGAAATTCGAAAATCTGGGAATTTGAAAATTTATTAGAAGAATTATCACAATTCAGAATACATAAATCCAGGAATCTGAAATTGCATTTTTATGGTTTACAATGGTTGATTTCAGACCGTCTCAGAAATCACCGATTCCCCTAAATCGATACGACGACTTCGTCGACGACTTGAGCCACAGAAGCAGATCCCAAGAGCAAACACCGGAACCAAGACTCGTGGCAAGAGCACTTTACAACTTTATCGGGCAATCTTCACGGGAATTGAATTTCCGTCGTGGTGACATAATATTCGTGCGTCGTCAGGTAGACAAAAATTGGTACGAGGGTGAACACAACGCAATGATCGGCTTATTTCCATCGAACTACGTCGAGGTAATTCTATTTCGAAGCTGTTAAGTGGTTAAATATTTAGTTTTGAAAATTCTACACGAGGTGCAATCTCTACATAATAAATTTTACGAAAAAAATAAAACAAAAGGGAACAGGATTATATTTTTATTTAATAAATTAGTTAATTGCAAAAATACATAGAGAAACAGTATAAAATTTTTAATTTAACTTCAAGTAATTTTGAACAGACATAACCCAAAGTTATACAATTTCACTTAAATCTAAGTAAAACTAAATTATTCTGGAAGTATTTAACAACGCTCTTATGTTTAATAAAACACGAAGTGATTTTGGTGACCACAAAGTGATTTTTGTATTATGTAATAAAAATTAATAGATATACGTTTGTGAAGATTATTCGGTATTATTGAAGTATAAAATATGTTAAAAAATTGTTTATTTCTATTTTTAGATTTTACCATACGATGGCATGAGAACGACACCAAAGAAACCTTATGAAGGTCAAGCACGAGCCAAATTCAATTTCGTCGCTCAAACAAATCTTGAGTTGCCTTTGGCCAAAGGTAAAATAGATATCGATAGAATACCAAGTCTTCGATACAAATATCTGGAATGCTGTTCCTTTTTGTTATAGGAGAACTTGTAGTTTTGACTAGAAGGGTCGATGAAAATTGGTACGAGGGACGCATTGGAAACAGGAAGGGGATATTTCCCATCTCTTACGTCGAAGTTATTACAGAACCTGGGCATAGAACAGGTATTGTACATATGTAACTTGTAGTAGAGTCAAATTTTTGTGTATATTTCTGTAGAATATATTATTGTATTATTCTAATAATTCTTTCGAAGATTTTATACAGGGTGTTAATTTTAACTTAACGCATGATTTTTCATTTGTATTTAATAAAAAATGTTTAAAATAAGACTGTTAATAGAATATTCTATCAATAAAAAAAATTTCGGAAACAGTTTCTTGGGTGAAATTAGGGTCATCTAAGATTTTATAGAACTCATATTTTTATTTTTATTGTAGAGAACGTTAAGACTTGTAACTTGTTAAATATTATATTTTTTAACTTGTTAAATATTATATTTTTAATGTCTGATAAATATTATATTATATTAATTGTAGAAACGCCAACGAAAAACAAACCAGTCGCCGCTCCAGCAGCACACAGTCTCTTAGTAAATGGATCAGCTGGAGGGAAAATGAGCATGGGACCCCATCACTATATGCCGTCTATACCGGTTAATATAAACACAACTCAGCCACACTATAATTCACTGGTTAGTTATATTCACGATATTTAATTACATTTCCTTTAAAATCATTTTTAACTACATGAATTAAAAGTCAATTGCTTTCAACCACGTGTAAATCCTACGAACATAATTTTGTAATTAGTTACTGTATCTCTTATTTTTAATCACTTTCAGTATCTAATACACTGATCTTCAAGATCTACAAGAATTTCTTATGTTCTAAGAAAGAAACAATGAATTACTTATAAAATTAATAATTAGGATCGTCAGAATTTCGTTTCAGCAATTATTGTATAATTACTTAGTCTTTGTATTAATGTAATGAAAAACACGTAGATTAATTGAGATAACGACTTGAACTGAGACAGAAATGATTAGAAACTAAGATAGTAATTGTAACTTTTATTTTTAATTCTAAATAATTATATTTCTTTTGCATGATTTGTAGCCACGGATGGGAGGAAGCAAGCTACACGTATCACAACTTAACGAGGCGTTGCACATCGATACACAATCCGAACCAATACCGTAAGTTTATATTGTCTTTGAAGCTTTAGATACTTCAGATTGAAGGATTTGGAAATTTGGTGATTTGGAGATTTAGAGGTTCGGAGATTTACAAATTTGCAGATTTGGAGATTTGGGGATTTGGAGATTTGAAGATTTAAGGATTCAATGATTTGAAGATTTGTGGATTTGCAGATTTGTAGATTTACAGATTTGTAGATTTTTAGATTTTAGAAGTCGTGAATTTGCTACTTCTTGGAAGTTTCACGGTTTACTGACTTAGAGATTTGATGATGTTTGGGGATTTGGGAATTTGTGCATTAGTGTACTTAGAAGTTTGGAGATCTACCAATTAAGAGATTTAGTGATTACTGAATTTTTTGGAAGAAACGTTCTGAACAAAAGATTTGCGGATTTGAGACAGCAGATTTGTGGATTACTTTTTAGTATTTACTAAGTTGCAAATCTTTATCAAACAAGTCTCCTCCTACTCCATATAGAATGAGTTGTTTCAAGTAATGACCTTGACAATATGTTTCGATATTATTCAAATCTAGGGCATGTAAATGTCCGACAATTACACTAACATTTCTATCCGAAGAGAATTCGCATTTTCTGTTTACAAATGTTTACGATTTCACTTCAGATACCGGGCTCTGTACAACTACAGACCACAAAACGAGGACGAGCTCGAGCTAAAAGAAGGCGACACGGTATACGTGATGGAGAAATGTGACGACGGTTGGTACGTCGGTTCCAGTCAAAGGACCGGATACTTCGGCACCTTCCCCGGAAACTATGTGGAAAGAGTGTGAAACACAATAGGCAGTAACTTTGTTGCAATGCGTATCGAGCCACAGATTACATTTTACCAAAGCACTGAATCGAAATCTTAACAATTTAACGGCCTCATGTTCCGCTTTAAATCATGTTCATAAAGACCAATCTACAGTTCAATCTTTTCTCTATGAAATCAAGTTGAATCTTTTGTTTACAGTGTTACAATGGCATCGAGTAAGCGAAAACAGAGAATATTTCATGAAATTGAATAGAGCTCAGAACTGGCGAATCTACGAAAATTACGAAAATATTTTAATTTTTAAAGCAAACTTATGTTAAATAGGTACAAATATTTGTTTGAGTAAGTGAATACTGAATTATAAATTTAAAATAGAATTTTGTTATCAAATAAATATTTCCACAAAAATAAAATGCAACCATAAAATTGTATTTGTTGACATCAACGATATTACGTGCGCTGTATTTTAAACCAGTCATGATAAAAAATTGACTGATTTCACATTTAACAGTTTCAAATATTTAAAGGATATGTTTCAAACAGCTATTTGATATTTTTAACTCTAAAAGTATTACATTTTGTTTGCGATGCAGAAAGATGCAAGAAATCGGTGTTTTCTCTGCTCGATCATATTGACACACTTTGTAAACACTTTGAATATACTCAGACCAATCGAGTAACTGAACCGTACTGATAAATTGTATATCACATAAGTGATATAGGCCGTCAAAATGTTAATATAAATGCGATTTAACGTTTAAACGTCGACGGTAAAGGGGCGTTAATAACATGTGTCATTAAAGTCTTCCTATTCGTGAGTTTTTCACGCTGTGGTAACGCGAGACCTTGTACCGTTGAATTCACCAAAAAGTTAAACATGTAAGATTAACGTGTAAGTAGTGTACGATAACAATTAGTAATTTATTGTACGTCGTTCACAGAAACGGCTGCGTCAGGCGGACGTTGCGAAAACAAAGAAACTATGTACGTTTGACCGTGTTTCTTATCGAGATCCGCGTCAAATCTCGCGTGTGACTTCTGCAGGCAGCTGTTTAAGGATTCGCTCATTGTAACGAGAAGATTCCAAAAGTATTTCACGCGTCTCGATAATATTTCTGTGTAATTTGTAAAAAGAATATACATTTCGAAGGGTTTACCTGGTTTCACCAGCAACGAACGAAGCTATTCGTTTTTTCATTGTACTCGTCGTGTTGCATTTATCAATGCACAATTCGAACATCTTTGTTGGTGAAAATTTTCTGTGTAACCGTCTGAAAGTAGGTTAAAGTCTGTCGGAAATTAGTCACCACTTTTGAGTAGTACGCCCGTGATTAATTCGTGTAATTATTTTGCAGAATCAATGCAAAATTGTAGAAAGGTTGTTTTGTTTTCGAGAAAATCAAATTTAAATATGGACTACGAGAATTATTCAAAAGAAGGCAATGGTATGAAATACCCGTTTTATTTATTGATGTATAAGGTCTCAATGTTTTAAAAAAGTGGAGGAACTTATATTAAAGCCTTTACAATTTGTTAATTTTCAAGATTTAGAACATCAGACACATTTGAAAATTAATCTACTAACAATTTGCTGTATCATTATCTGTTAAGAATAACTTTTTTAGTGCTTTCGAGATTTTCTGTTCAAATTTGAGATAGATTATCGATAGAAGACTTATCGTTATGAAGTTTGTAAATGTTACCCCAGTGAAATATTTAAAATTGATTTTCTTGATGATCGCACTAACAGTCACAGTGATCGAAATGTAAAAAGGTGCAGAAGATTGGATTGTTGAACAAACAACCGAATATCCAATGAATTTATAGTATTTGAGAAGATTCCTTTGAACCTCGATTCTTTCACGAAATGTGCACAAACTAAAAGCATGGCCGAATCGATCGTCGGTAAAGAAGTTAGCGAAATAAAAGTCTGTAAACGAGCCAAAGATAGAAAAGTCTCGAGAGCTTTTTCTTGATTCAATTCTCGGTGAAAAGGAGCGTCAAGAACGTTGGAGATTTTTCCATAAAAAGTGCTTCGAATCGTAAATTGTTTTAAATTTGAGGAAGACGAATTTCCTTCTGCGTTTGGTATTGTAGATAAATCAGTCATGTTATTGTTGCATTCGTGAGTATCCAAGAGTAAGTGATTTATAATTGAACGTTTGCCTTCCCAAATTAATATTTTTGTAAACATTATTTGTACCCAGAGTTATATATATATACATATATTATACATATAAAAATGAAAATGAATTATATGATGTATAGAAGATATATCTATATACATGTACACACATAGTTACGATATTATACGAAGCTGTAATTCTATGAGTATAGATATACTTAACGGCATAATTAATGCACGTGTTAAGATGCACACCAAAGGCTCGACATCGAGCCTTAATCCGTATTTAATGATGACTAATAAATGAAGTCTGCTCGATGTCAAGAGGCCATGATTTTCGAAAACGTTTCGCCATGACGTTACACGACAGCCTATCGTTTAGTCCTAGGAAATAAAAGATTAATTCGGATCCACTTGAAAAAACAGACAATACGTATCGCTATTGTTACTTGTAATAGTTCAGCAGCGAAAGATAATCCTGTATGTAGAAAAGGGCATTAAAGGGCGAACAAATATTTCAGTTTATGGTTCTTTTAACGCTTAACACGTTGACTGACACACTAGAAATACCCATGATAATATAGATTAAGAATATTAACCTCTACATAACTAATCGGCCAGCGGACAAAATAATAGAAACGTCTAATAATCGTTAACACGTCTTGCGTGTAAACTTTTGAAAAGTTTAAAATCTTTTAAGTATTTTAGGTTTGTAATTATCGTTCAAAGTGATCGAAAATCATATCATAACGTTTCACTGTGAAACGTGATATAAAACTTTTTAAAATTTTTGTACTTTATGTTTGTGGATAAAAATTTGTCCAACTGATATTCTATAGGCGTACTTTCATATAAAACATTTCAAAAATGCTCTTATTATTTTTAAACGAGTTTCAAGAAATTTTGAACTTTTTGTGGTGAATTGAAAAATGAATAACATATCTAAAATCTTTAAGGAAACTCAAAGATATTTAAGATGTTAAAAAAGAATGATTTAAAATCTTGTTAGAAACTATTGAAAACATTTAGTGTCCATTATAAATTGAGACTGTCTTATTAATAAAGAGTATACTGCTATATTAATACGTTGAATATTGTAGAATTCAAAATTATAAGAAAAGTGTAAAAATTATAAATATTATAATAATATGAAATAGATAATATGAAGTAACAAGTTAAGAAATCAAATCGAAAATTACATGTACGTATCTTGTCACAAATGACAAAATATCACAGTAAATATGAACTGTTTCCATTAGCATTCTAAGTATTAATAACAGAACTGTTTTTATTATTTTGTCCGCATTACTGTATATACGTCCACTATTAATATTCGTATTTATTCATATAGGACACCCTGTATGTAAATTAGACATATGACAATAATACAATGGTGAGTACAGCATACACTTAATACATAGTGGTTTTTAATATAATATCCGTGCAAGGACACAGAGTCTCCAAAGAAATAATTTTTCTTATCGTGTATTAATTGAAAATATTCCATAAGCGAAGGTATTTTATTAATCAAAGTAAACTGCACTCAAACTTTTGTTAATAATTATTGAAATCGTAAACGTATTTTATGAGTCTATTGTTTTCAACTGAAGAAAACTCATTCAGTGTTATTTAGAAAAACGTAATCTTAGGTGATTCAGGTGTTAGCAAATAAATATGTGAATACTCGAATTAATTCATTTTATAATAACAGTCAACGTGTTAATCAATGTGTAAGATACAAACGTTTTTTCGATCCTATGTGAGTTATGTTTAACTAAAAAAGTTATGATTAAGTACTTGATTTAATTTATAGTTCAGTTTTGCTAAGTTTCATTACTCTTTCTCAAAACAGAATTTTTATATTTGATATTATGCAGACAGAGCTTCGGTGAATTCAGTAAACATAAATAGTACAAAAATTTCATTTCAACATTTATCAAGTTTGTCTTTGAATCATTTTTGCATTGTGTCAACCATTTGTTGATTTTTACAAATCTATCAATTCGTTCAATTTTTTAACCGACTTCGAAAAAGGAGGAGGTTACTCAATTCGATCAGTATATCCTTTTTTTCTATTTATTCAAAAACCTTCTACATGTTTTGTCAATGAATGTTTTATTTACAGGAATATTAGTTAACTAAGTTGTATAATAAATCAGTTGTTTATGAACAATTGAAGGAAAAGTATAGTTTGTCAGTAGATTTATTGAAAGCCAGAAACTAAAATAATTCATAACATAAAGTCGCACACTGTAAAGGTTTATGTATTATTTATGCATGCTGAATTCGCGACCAAAGTTATGTCCACACGTTATGGTTCACCCTGTATAATTTGAGTCGAAAAGCATAACGCTGTTCAAATACTTCGCGATTGCATGTATATTCAGCAACATTATCTTCCCCTTTGAATATACTGGACAACTGAATTTGTAACTATAGTTCTGAAACATTTGGTACATTACTGCCGATAATTCAGCAATTACGAATTTAAGAAACTAAAAACTAATCGAGATGGGATGCGGTGAAAGGAAGAATTGACAGAATAGTGTATATTTATTTAGAATAAAATCTTGTAAAAAATATCGTACGCAAAAAGTACGTACATCCTATATAAACCAATTAAAATATGATAAACTAAAACGATAGAATACGTTCAAACGAACCAGATGGACTTTTTTTGTAATTTTTTATTCGAAACCTTGGGTTCCATAAATTTGAAATGTTAATTAACTTCAGTGTAAATTATATAAAGGAGAAATTAATTTAATAAGGACTTCATTTTATCAAGTTAAAAATTGTTTAAAGTGTCTTTTATTACAACGAACGAAAGAGAACAAATTTTCAAAATTAAATTTTTCAAAAGAATATCCTACTCTATTATCACAATTGAGTTCATAACCACCAATTACATGACCCTGTATAATCACTCATCTATTAATTGAAAATAAACGTGTCAATGTAACGGGTGGAATAACAGTGTAATTAACCCTTTCACTGCCGTCGACAGCAAAATGTCCGATCACGTGATATCGCGTGCTCGATCATCAACACTTAACCCTTCGCTGTCAGAAAATGTACATTCAAAAATTCCGTTTAATTTATTAAAGTTGATTAATCAATACTTTTATGGTGTTTCGATATCTTGACTGTTAAAAAAATTTTGAAACAAATTAGCGGAGCAAATGAACACAATTAAATTAATGACAGCGAACGCGTTAAGTTAATGCAAAACGAACGAATACGATCTTGTAATATTCGATATATTTATCGTGTAACGTATATTTGTTAAAAGAAAAGGAAGGCTGACGATGATCGAAAGAGTCACGTTTAAGCATCGATGATTTCTAAACGAATATACATAAACGTAGATGTATCTATACACGAATTTGTATAATATAAGAATTAAATTGTATAAATTATAGCTGTATACAGAAAATACATGTATTACAGATTTTAAACAGTTTTGTGTTCTTCTTTCTTATTTTAATCGAAGTAACTATTTCGAATGTAATTCACAATGCTACATATTATAACTTTTATTTACATATTTCAGTAACTGCCTAAAGCATTTTAAATTTATTTCAAAGATAATGGGTTTGTATACTCAAAATTTAAATAAATTTTAGTGTGTTACTTCATTAGGACCACTCTTTGAAGAAGCAGATAAAAGAATCTTCATAAAAGAATCTCTCCCTCAAAAAAGACATTTCGCCACTAAAAAATAAAGGTATAGAAAATAACAATAAGCTGGTGGTGAATTAGTAAATGATGTAAGTAGCAGATTATAATCATCAAAGATTTGAATTTTATTTCCAGTATCCCCAATTTTCTTAATCCCATAAACCAGAGATTTAACCACAATTAGACTACAAAATGCATGCTAAAAATTCCCTTCACAACAAAGCTGCAAACAGAAGATAGATTTTATAATTTCACTCATGCTCATATTACGAATTTTACTTTATCTTTGTACATTGATATGCAATTCAAGTTACTAATATAAATATTGTGTTCTTTGACTCTTTTGGCGCGAAACGTAATATGTTTGATATGTTTTGCTAAAATGTAGTAAATCTATCTTGTGAGGCGAAGTAAAGTGACGATTCATGTAAATTTACTCCCCATTGAGCATGCTTTTAAATTCGGTCTAGTATCACAGCAGTGGAAAAGAGCAAAAATGGGTAAGTAAAAACATAAACTATATAAGGTATGGATAGAATGCTTTTCAAGGACGCCATATTGACATCGTTGGTTCCAATTGCTTCCACTAGTAGCGTTACTGTAGATGTAATACATATTTTCAACTAGGTATTGTAGACATCTGCTATACTACATAGGAGACTGAATTCTTCTTTTGCAATGTTCAAAATTTGAAGAAATTGGGAATTTAGAAATTTGAAAAGTTGGGAAATTGGGAATTTAAGAATTTGAGAAGTTGGGAAATTGAGAATTTGGGAATTTGAAAAGTTGGGAAATTAGGAAATTAGGAAGTTAGGAAGTTGGGAAGTTGGGAAGTTGGGAAGTTGGGAAGTTGGGAAGTTGAGAAGTTGGGAAGTTGGGAAGTTGGGAAGTTTGGGAAATTAGGAATTTGAGAAGTTGGGAAGTTGATGAGTTGGGAATTTGGAATTTTGGGAAGTTGGGAAGTTGGGAAGTTAGGAAGTTGAGAAGTTGAGAAATTGGGAAATTGAGAAATTGGGAAGTTGAGAATTTGGGAATTTGGGAATTTGGGAATTTGGGAAATTGAGAAGTTGGGAAGTTGAGAAGTTGGGAAATTGAGGAGTTGGGAATTTGGGAAATTGGTAAGTTGAGAAGTTGGGAATTTGGGAATTTAGGAAATTGAAAAGTTGAGAAATTCAGAAGTGGGGAAATTGGGAAATTGAGAAGTTGAGAAGTTGGGAATTTATAAATTCAGGAATTTAAAAAGTTAGAAAACTGGGAAATTATACAAATTCCGTATTTCTTAAGAGAACTACATAAGCATATGGTTTTATTAAATGAATACTACCTTCTATACAATTACATAATTATTTATTGTCTGACAATCATCAGTTTTCCCTGTGGCTACCAACATGTTAAGATCACTCGTGTGCAGCATACTTTATTATTTATTAAAAGATAAACTCAGGAATACAAATTATTTAGGATCTCATATATTCGCATCGAGTTCCACGAACGCTGTTGTTAAGTTTACTTTCCTTTTGCTTTCGCTTATTATCGGATTATATAAATTCGCCCGTTGTCTGTGATCCCTGTAGCACAAGGTGTTAAAGATAGCGGACATCCAGAATTACACCTTATGGTCCCCGCAGGCGCCAAGACAGCGATGTGGTTGATGAGCAAGGTGAGTTGCGGCAACCAGCTGTGCGGCAGGGTCTGACCACATGTTGTCGCATACCACTTGTTATGCACAGCCGGTAGCTCCTGATACGAATCCTTAGCATCAGGAGAGCGATGCAAGGCCACGGTCGCTTTCATGACCTACGTATTCACCAGTTATCTGCGCTCGACGTGTATA